TAAAGTAACGATTAGAGATGGGGGTATTCGTATACGAATATCCCCGCATAGGTGGTGTTAACGAGGGTCCGCTCACCAAACCGCTGCAGATGCAGACTGCACGGTTCTACGAATGACTCTGCGGCGCGCAGTCTGCTCGCCACTCCTGGCAGGAGGCGGGAGGACAAGCATTGCTGCAAGGTTGAAGAGTGGCGAGTGGATTGCACGCTGCGGAGCCGTTCGTAAAATTGCACCATCCGCGTCAGCGGTGGATCAGCGAGTGGACCATCCGGCCCCATACGACTGGACCCTTGTTAACGCCACCTGTGCGGAGATATTCGTATTCGTATACCCCCATCTCTAATAATGATTCAAGAAATCTTAACACCACGAGGCTTCCTGACTCCAAAGGTAACAGAGAACCTTCAGGACACAAGCTTGTTCTTCCTGTTTAAGTCTGCTTTCTCAGACATGAAAGGTTGTCTTAGTCACATCTCTTGAATAATAATGCAATTTCAGCTTTAATGATGGATGGTCTATAATGTGTCATTTGTGCCTTAGCCTGTGGCTGTGAAACTGGGCTGTGGTCACAAACCCAGTAAGTCAAAGATGGGGAACCTGCACCTGTGTGGATATTGTAGGGCCACAGTATCCATCTCTCTTATTGGCTTGGGGGGGGGAAACGGCGCAGAATTCTCCCACCCCTGCTATCAATTCACTCTGCCTTGCATGACAGTTCTCCCTTCTCTTTGCCGTATCCACACACACTGCTCCCCATGCGGTGCCCTCGTTCCGTGAGAAGTACACCCCCCCCTGAAGTTGGCCGGTGTGTGTGTGGGATGTCACGCTGCCCTCCCTTGTGCCCCTTCTGTGCATTGACGCTCTTCCCAGTTCTTCCGCAGCTTCTCCGAAACCCGGATTCAGCCCCTGGCGGGGCCTGTGGTGGAGCGCTGGCATGCAGAGTCGATTAACAAGCTTGTAAATCAGCAAACAGGATTAGAAAGGAGACACCTTGATTGAGATGGGTCTTTGGCAGAAACTATGGTAACAGCTGCAGGTTTTATTTTTTTTATTTTTTGTTTCCTGTAGACTCTTAGACATGGGAGTGTATGACAGGCTTGTGTGTTTTGTGTTGGACTGACTTTTTATCTTGCATCGTGTCATTTTACATTGCAGGGCCAATGTTGTATTTTTCTCTATTCTTCCACTTAACCCTACTATTATCTAAGGCTCAAGTGTTGATATTTATTGCATTGTCAATTCCTAGTTCCATAAGCTGCCTTTTTTTTCAATCTTAGAAGACAGATAATGGCACTTTCTCTTCCTAAGACCTAAACACAGACCCCTGACCCATCAGGAAAAAAAGAAAAGAAAGCAACTCTCCTATTTTCCAATTAGCCAAAATATCCATTTTACTCTTTGCACTGAGTGAGGAACATGGGTTTCTATCCTAGCTTGGTCGGCCACACTTCAGCCAGCTCCAGTCTCATGTTTTAAAACCCCGTGCAGGTTCTAGGTAATCAGAAAATGCAATATCCCTGTCGCCAGCTCTCCGAAGACTTGCCGCTGGGGTAATTTGAGCTGTCAGCGCCATCCATCACGGAGACGCAAGCGGCAACCCAACGCAAACGGAGAGGCGAAAAGTGGCAGGCAGCTGTGCAACAGGCCAGACTCAAGTAGAAACATGTCCCTTCTCGCCTTTTGGGGAGAGAGAGAGAGAGAGAGAGAGAGCATGTGTGTGTACACACAGGCAGAGGGACAGTCTATTAAACCCTCCTTTGGTCAGCAAATCGTCTTGCTTTCTAACAAGCTAATTAGCTGCTTTGGAAGAATATTAAAACATGGGAGCTGTTTTCAGTCTTCTGGATTTCCCTTGTTTTCCTGGACAAAACAAAGGATGGGAAACTTCATGCTCTACGAGTAGATTTGTTGCCTCAAGGAGAGATGTATAGTCGTGCCCCGCTTTACGATTACCTTGCTTAACGGCGAATCCACTTGACGGTGAGGTTTTTGCTATTTATTTATTTATTTATTTATTTATTGGACTTATATACCGCCCCATAGCGCTACAAGCACTCTCCGGGCGGTTTACAATTTTAATTATACAGGCTACACATTGCCCCCCCAGCAAGCTGGGTACTCATTTTACCGACCTCGGAAGGATGGAAGGCTGAGTCAACCTTGAGCCGGCTACCTGGGATTTGAACCCCAGGTCGTGAGCACAGTTTTAGCTGCAGTACAGCGTTTTAACCACTGCGCCACGAGGCTCTTAATGGCCGGCAGATGGTCTTTGGCTCCTTCTGGGTGTAGGCATGATGGTCTGGTGCAGTCCCAGGGGCAGCTCCGGCCTGAAAGCGATCGCAAAACGATGATTCCAATGGGTTTTTTCGTTTAATGATGATTGGTTCCCTGCTTCGGGAACCGATTTTTGCTTTACGACGATCAGCGAACAGCTGATTGTCGGGTTTCAGAATGGCCACCGGCTGAAGAAAATGGCCCCCCACTGTGCTTAGGGACAGATTCCTCACTGCACAGGCATGGAAAATGGCCGCCCCTATGGAGGATCTTTACTGGACGGTGAGTTTTCAGCCCATTGGAACGCATTGAACAGTTTTCAATGCATTTAAATGGGCTTTTAAATTTCACTTTACGACGTTTTCGCTCTACAGCGATTTCACCGGAACGAATTAACGTCGTTAAGCGAGGCACCACTGTATATGAAACTGGGGGTTGGTGGCGATACAGTGGCCCCTTAGAGACAGAACTGATTCTTTGAGAGCTTTCCTTGATTGGGCTTCACTAAGTGATGTCCTGTGGCAATGACTCTCCCAGGGGGCACAGGACAACTCACGTTGTGGCCTTGCTTCTGGAAATGTAAAGAGTCTACTTTTTTTCTGGTGAAGGGGAGATGCCCTCAGTAGTAGGGCTTTTGCAGTGGGTCTCTCTCAAAATAAAACCAGATTGATTAAAACATGGGTCTGTAAATGCACTTAGCGTATTAAATATTATTGGCTGCTCTTGCTTTTACGAATGTGGAAGCAAGCACAGCAAAGGGCTTTTTAAAAGGTTCCACTGTGAGGTTGTGGGTTTCGGGTTGCTTCCTCATCCTCCAGCATTTTTGTATTACTTTCCTTGCCATTTTCACAAGCGCTCCATCGCTGCTTGGCAAGAGACAACTCTATGCTTTCCTTGAGGTTCATGGCTTGGTCTATCGATCTATCAGTCTGTCCCTCTCTATAGAATGCCCTTCTACCATTCTGTCAAAGGTGTGTTCAGCCTTTACTAAGGCGGTAGTAGAATTGATCTCGCATGGCAGTTAGGCTCACCGAGCAGGCGAGCCACCTCTTTTCCATCTGTGCTTTGTATAAATTCATTTCATGCAATCTTTCCCCCCAGTGAAGGGACCTGGGGTGGCTGACAAATCAGTATTGAGCAGAATCATTAGAGATGGTTTTCAGTTGTAGATGCTGTCACATACAGCACTGATGGTACCTGTCTGTCATGGGTTTGGAGGGAAAGTTCCATCCTATGGGGAGTGGAAGGCGGGACATCAGGGGGGAGGAGCTGTACTGTATATATATGTGGAGCTTGTGTGGAGAAGTTTAGAAGCTGGAGTGGGAGTCTGTGTGTCAGACTGAGTACAACTGTGTGTCAGTTAGTACATACCTGATAGGTTCAGGTTTCGATATAGGTAGCCAGAACTGATAGGTTCAGGGTCTGTGCTTTACTTTAAAGTGTTCTGTGGGAACTAATTTGTTGTATGTATATGATTTGGACTATGCCACGTTACATTATCCTATTTACCTGATCTTTTTATTTACCCTGTTTGTTGTTTAAATAAACCTTATTCTTTTGTTTAGTAAAATCCATTCCTGGTCTGTGTGACTCCTTATAGGGAATGGTTGGTGGCAGCATAGTTAAAGTGTGGCATACTCCAGTAGGTCTGGGGTTGCCACAGATGCTAAGTTTTGAGATGCAGACAAGACCTTCTAGTCCTTGAAGCAAGCCAGACGCCAAAGATGCGTGCCATCTGCTGAAAACACAGTCCTTGACGTGCACGGGGGTGTGTGTGTGCATGTGTTACATAAACCAGATTGCACCCAGAATCGTAATTCTCAGATAAATCATAATTTTATTAATAGCCACTGCATGGCTTTGACAGTTGCTTCGAAGTTCACAGCAGTAGCTTCCTTGCTGGGTTGTTGGTGGTCTGGGCAATATCAGGAGGGGGACTGCCAGCAAATCACTGTGCAAACTTGCTGGCACCTTGTCAGAAGGCTTGAGTTGGCAACCAACCGTTTATTTCTCATGGGCCGGAATTTCCTTCCCTCCTCCCCCCCCCCCCAACTTTTTTTCAACACTTTCCCCCCACCCGCTGCCTTGTTCAGTCTTTGTGTTCTCTGGAAGATCATTTTTGCAGAGGACAGAAATGCTAAGGAATGATAGATCTGTGTCTAAATGAGGGAAATATTGGGAACGGTATCCATAGATGTGCCTAAACACCTCAAAAAGAAATAGCATATTGTGGAATATGATCCTGGAATGGGTGGATTCAAATGGATACAAGCATTGCTCTCGCTCCCCCTTTTAAAAATTAACTTATTAATGATAGTGACTTCCCAAATTAGTAAATATTATGGTGGCCTTGATATGACAAAAAAAATATATCTCAGCTTCTGTGAAACCAGCCCTCTGGAGAACATCATGTCGCTTTCAGAAGTAAGTGATGAGAGAGAGAGAGAGAGAGAGAGAGAGAGAGAGAGAGAGAGATGTGTCCTAGCCATTGGCATAAGGACTTGTACTTTTTGTTGTGTCTCCCTCCCTCTCATTTTTTAAGTTCACCCGGCTCTTAAAATTTCAGCATTACTGCAAGCAAGAGACTTAGGTTACCTAAACATAGGTGAGGGGGGGTCCAGGAACGGGCTTGTAGATGAGGTGGTCTCTCTCACACGCCCCCCCTCTGCCCTGGTGCCTTCTTGCTCTGAAAACTGTCACTCACTCTTGGGTTTCCTTCTCTGCAGGTGGGATCGGGTTTGGCCGTGCCAAAGGCAACTCCGGCTCGGAAGCAGATGATGAAACTCAGCTGACCTTCTACACTGAGCAGTACAGGAGCCGACGGCGTAGCAAAGGTAAGGAAAAGAGCAGGTCGTGGAGCGGCCAGATCGTTTTAGACGTTTTAGATCATTTGGCACAATCTCGCCGAGACGGTATTCGTTTTGCGCCAAAGCCGTCTCCGCACCTCGTATTGTTTCAGCTCCTTGCTTTTGGAACCAGCGTTGGCTTTATTTGTTCTTAAACCCATGTTGCCTAATGTTTCCTTTCCGGAGAGAAGAGGAAAATAACTGATTAGAACTCTCCATAGCATAAAATCTTAATAGGAGAAGGTTTGGCAGCGTTCTAGATTGTCTGGATGTTTTTGAGAAAGCCGGTGAGGAGGATGTTTGGATTAGAAAGCTATAAGCCTGCAGACCGGTGAGGTTGTAATTGGGAAGAAGAAAGCAGGGACAGACTTCCATATACCAAGTGGGCCTTATAATAGGTTCAGAATTCCTGCGGGGCTGAGATGGTATTTAGCATCATCGTTATCATTTGGTTCCTCCGGGCCTTTGTGCCTCTTGGATAACATTGTTCATTTAACATGGCAGCAGTGAGTATTTTTCCTTCCGATACTCGTGTCTCACCGCCTGAGCAGGGGACCAAAGGTGGAAGATGAGTGAACAATATATTCTGTCCTTTAAAACATTAGCAAAGGCTTCACCAGCACTGAGAGACCTGTATTTGGACATCAGAACGAGGTGGGATTTAATCCGGTCCCAGGCTCCCAAATTCTCCAGTCCGATAATTATCTTCCAACCCACTCTTTGCTGTGACGGGAAACCCTTCTCTCCCAGGGTTCCTTACCGCCCCCCTCACTCCACGGTCAGTAACACTTGAAAATAAATGACAGGCAATTCTGTTGATGGATTGTACTAACCTGGCATTTGATGCTAAGCTGTAGATGACAAGCAATCTGGTACAAAGAGGAGGAGGTTCCACATATGCGGAGAATCTCTGATTGTCAGAGCAGGAGTGTTTCACCCTTCCGGGCATCTGCAAGCGAACTTCCTTTGTTTTCCTAGTTAGCTTCTTGATGACAAACACAGACTTTGTTTGCAGGTCTTAATTTTTCAGCAGTGAAGGCTGCCACATTCATCTCTCTGGGGCCTGCATATATTCCATGGGGAGACCCTTAGCATCATATTAGTACAAAAGGGAAAGAGACATGTCTCCCACTTCCACACACCCCCATGACTTTCTAGTAAGATAATGCAGATTTCCCCTTGAAAGCTCATCTATCATCTTTGCAATGACAACTCTTCAGAATAGGACTCCATGAATGTCATAGACCCTTGTGGGCCATATATTATGGGTAATTTCCCCTGTATACTCTCTTTCTTTCTTTCTTTCTTTCTTTCTTTCTTTCTTTCTTTCTTTCTTTCTTTCTTTCTTTCTTTCTTTCTTTCTTTCTTTCTTTCTTTCTTTCTTTCTTTCTTTCTTTCTTTCTTTCTCTCTCTCTCTCTCTTTCTTTCTTTCTTTCTCTCTCTCTCTCTCTCTCTCTCTCTCTTTCTCTCTGTGTGTCTGTGTCTCTGTGTGTGTCTGTGTGCATGCATACAGTATGTAGAGAGAGATATTCAGTCTGCAATAGCTGAATACCATCACTGTGCTCTTATAAATCTCTTCCATTTACACCCTCCTGCTTATCTGGGACTCTTTAGAGATGGTGGCACCGGGGAAGCTCCCTTGCTTGTCTTGGTCCACTTTGGCCTCTTTTGCAAAATGAAAAAAAAAAGTGCAGCAAAGATGTTAATCAGTAGCATCTCTAAGCCTTAGTTCTCACCACCAGAAAGAAAGAAAGAGACTGGGGATCATAAGTCATTTCTTTGTATGGTGTGTCTTTGTGGGATGTCAGTTATTAGAAAGCTGTTGCTTGGGATAATATCCTGAGGTTCAGTAGAGTTCATATTCTAACTACTAATTTCAGCTTCCTCCCCCTTTCACTCTCTGCTTCTCCAGGGAGTCAGTCTAGTCGGTTTCTGTTTCTCTGTGACCTAATGGGTCTCTGTCTGTAAAGCCATATTTCTTAACGGCCCTGTAAGTAGAGCATTCATACCCTTTCCCTCTGCTATCTTTGCTGTTCATGTCTTCCTGGGAGAAAATTTTCCATGATGAATGCAATGAATCTTTTCTCTTTCTGTGTGCAAGACATAATTAACGTAAGGGAGGGACTAAAGAATAAAGAAATAAAATGAAACGTATCATTCTACTTAGTGCTGCAGCGGAGAACAGTAATTGGGAAGCCTCCTAATTTCTGCTCAGAAAGCTCCTTTGCTGGAGACAACTAGTCGCTCAAAGGGACCACTGTTCAGGTTTTCTAGAGGGCCCTGTGTCGTCGTTGTTTAGTTGTTAAGTCGTGTCGACTCTTCGTGGCCCCATGGACCAGAGCACGCCAGGCCCTCCTGTCTTCCACTGCCTCCCAGAGTTAGGTCAATTTCATGTTGGTTGCGTCGATGACCCTGTCCTACCATCTCATCCTCTGTCATCCCCTTCTCCTCTTGCCTTCCCACTTTCCCAACATCAGGGGCTTTTCCAGAGAGTCTTCTCTTCTCATGAGAAGGCCAAAGGATTGGAGCCTCAGCTCCAGGATCTGTCCTTCCAGCTCTAGGTGTTAGTTGGAGGATTTATCTTCTTTTCTATCCTGGAGAGAAGGACCAGGAGAGGAAAGAGAGAGGGAGAGAGACAGAGAGAGAGAGAGCCCAGCCCGACGACTGACAAGAAGACACTACACAGAACATTTGGGTTTATAACACTTTTCATGTGACATTTATTGCTTTCTTTCAGAAGGCAGCAAACAACGAAGGCACCCAGAGGCCCCTTCCCTTCTGTCCACACTCCCTCCCACATAAAGGACTCTTCCCCGATAGTTGATCTGTCTCTCGGTCAGAGCGGTGGGAGCAACGTTGCAGCGCCGATCGAAGCCCACACTCTAGGCAGAGAAGTCCCAAGCAGGGGTCAGAGTCCATCTGTGGCCACGCAGGAGGGAATGCTTCTTTTCCCGTGTGTCCAGTTTTGTCCATCGGCCACAGACTTGGCTTGAGCCAACCAGCTTCCACTCTTCTGGTCTGGAAACAAGTCCCAATTTCGCACGTCCTCTTCCACCTGCAGCTCCTTCCGAATGGGGAAACAGGCACGTCTTGCTCCCCTCTGCAGATTTGCCTCAGGCTCACCATCCCGTCTCTCTTTGCAAGTCTCCACCTTCTTCTTTTCAGGCCTGGGGGGCTGGTCTTTCTGGAACCCCCTCCCCCCAAACACATGCTCTGTCCCTCATAACACGGTGATCCCAGAGCGTTCCCGGAGAAGAGGCCAGGGTCACCTCGTCTGCCGCAGGAAAAAAGGAGGACTGAACTTCCCGGGACAGCAGGAGGAGGACGGGCGCCCCCCCCCCCGGGAGCACGAAGCCCCGGCTGCTTGGCCCTCAGACACCGAGTCACGCCTTCTGTTCCTCCTCGCAGTCGGCCTCCGAAGCTCAGGGCTTTTTTCCTTCTCCTCCTGGAACGTTCCTGCCAGTTGCTCAGCTTCACCTTCTTCCTTTCACCCCTTGCCCCGTTTCGGGCTGGACCGTCTGCCCACCACCAGCACCCAGGCACAGGAAGGACCTCGCTTTCGCTGATCTCCCGGTGGAGGGGCGCCATCAGCCGGTCCCTGGGAGGGGGAAGACAAGGAGAGCATTGATGGGGGGAGCTAGGCACCCCTCACCTGCAGCCGGGCAGACCCCACCACCACCTGGCCACCCCCGGAGATGATGC